CTAGTGAAGAGCTCTAAGTTACCCCCAAAGGAAGGGCAGGTGTTGACTTCTTTGGAGCAAAAACGCGAGGATCTGGTCTCTCTCGAGGTTGTTGTCTCCTCCTCTATGCCCCCCGAACCCACAAAGAAGGTGATATCCCTAGAGCAGCCCCCTCCATCAGTGGGCCTCCTGTTTTTCCCCAACTGACTCTGCCAAAGGAAGTGAGGAGGTAACCCATACTACCTCAGCCAACTGTTCAAGGTAGTGGGATCCTCCGTGATCCCAAGGCCACCGTGAATGCTCTGGCTGAGCTAGTCCCCAAGTCGGATTCTAATCTGGCCAAGCGAGTTCCCTTTGAGAAGAAGACTAAGCATGTCATCCAGGGCTTGGCTGAGGTACCTTATGATTTCTTCTTTTATGTGAGCGTTTCTTCTGGCGTATTTTCATCTCTTGCTTGTATTGACTCCTATCTCTCTCTTCAGTCACTGGCGTGTATGAAAATGATAGAATTTCACCATGTTCGGCTTATGCCTCAGTTGACTGCCAAGGAGCAGGAGCTGGTCAAGGCGAGGAACATTTCTGAGGCTGCAGAAACAAGAAAAAGCCTTGCTGAAGGAAAGGTGGCTGTCCTGGTTACCGAGGTAGCCGAGCTGAAGAGGATTTACGAGGAGTTGAATACTTGTTACCAAGAATCTGCCAAGTTGAAGGATGACCAGTTGAAGATCAGGAACAAATAGCTAGCGAAGAAGAACGTCGAGCTGGTGGCGTCGAACGCCAAAGTGGCATCTCTTAAGGCTATGGTCGTTGAACTCCTAAAGAAAACTGCTACTGCCTTTGTGAAGGGGTTCATGAACTTTCAAGAGCAAGTTGAGAATGTGTATCCCGATCTCGATTTGGATTCCTTCGTGTCACAACTTGGGCCAAAAAAAATAGCGGAAGTGACTATTGGGGCCACTACTGACGTAGCCAGTGTTGGCGAGGGAACCTCAACTGGACCTATGGAGAGGGGCAAGTAGGTCGGTGTTGAGGCAATTGGGACCGAGGTGTTTAGGGCCAAGGAAGTTGGTGCAAGCAAAGAGACCGTTGCTGGTGCAGCTAATGAGAGCAGAGAGCCTACGGTGTGACTTTTCTTTTGACTGACTTTCCTTTGCTTGTAACAAAACTTCTGTACTTGTCGCTCTCTTTTCAATGTACTTTCTTAGTTTTTAATGAAGCTTTAGTATTCTTTCTTGCCTACCCACTTTTTTTTCCTTGCATGTGTATGTCGTTTCTATTTTCTATTTCTTTTAAAAGTAATGGTCAACAAAGCCTATTTCATGCTGCGTTGCGACCTAGGTGCCTCGAGTTAAGCTCCCTCTTTACCGAGATGGTTTCAGTTGTTTGGGGCTATCTTGCTTGCTGAGGCTATTTTAGACTTTTTTTCATTCCTTTTCTGCAAACTTGACGATTTTTGATCAGTTGGGAACGTGGGCCATCATTGATGATAGTAGCTCCTTGAAAGTAGCGCCCACTTCCTCTACGACGATCACGTGTCAATGACATTAAACGCGATTTATATGCATTAATGGCACCCTGCGGATGTGATATGCGTCGGCTAGAAGTCCTTATAAATAGTCCCCTCAGTGGATGAATCTTCCACCTTGGTGCTAAAGTTTCTTTCTTTTTCTTGCTCTTGATTTCTGCTTCAAAGCTCATTTTTTGCAACTTGTTTCTTCCTCTATCTTTATGGCACGAACACTCACTACTTACCATGACACCTAGCAATTGGTCTAACCCGACATCGAAAATAGTGAAATCGGTAGTGAAGAGGTTCAACGATTGCTAATCGTTATGCCTTTTTCAGTGGGGTAGTCATTCGTGCTGCAGAACACAACTTATACCATTTTTCCATGAGAGGTTGGGTCTGCTTTTTTGAAGTCCCTTTCTAGCTAGGGCTACGGTTCTTTATTCCTCCATTTGCAAGGGAAGTGTTGCATTTCTTTGACTTTTGCTCTGCTATGTTACTTTCAGCTGGGTGGACTATTTTGCTGGCGTTCCCTATGTTGTGGGAGCAGATGTTTACTCATCCTCGAGCGACCCTTGCAGAGTTTCTTAACTTCTTTCGTCCGGTGGAACTGTCTGAATTTTATTACTTTGCTCCAGGACGAGATGGAGAGATCTCAATTATTAACCTCCCTCCTGAGCCTAAAGGGTGGAGGAGGAGATATTTTTTCATATCTGGGACAGGCTGGGAGTTTGAGCCCCAGATAATGTCACTGGTCAGAATTCCCACAGTTTGGGGGAGGCGTGGTCACCTTGGTGAGTTTTCCTGGCTTGATGAGTTTTTTCTTTATTAATCTGGTCCTACCAGGCTTGTTGGCGTCTAACTTGGCTTATGGCACTATTCTTTTGTGTTGTAGGTGAGTACCCGATCTTGACTTGCGAGACACAAGCTCGGGTTAACCATGTTCGAGCTCGGTTGCCCTTTTCTTATACTGAGCTATTGCATCCCAAACTTACTTCCATCCCGAGCAATCGTGAGTATTTGTTGTTCTTTCCTTACTATTCTATTTTTGATGTGTTCAACCAAGCTTACTTCCTCACTGCCTTTCTTGTTCAGTTCTTGCGTACCTGACCAACCAAAGAGATGCGATCATGGAATAGGTGTGCCAGAGGAGATGAGCTCGGGCCCAAGATCTTTGGCGAAGAGGGTTAGACTAGCAAAGGACAACTTGATCCCAGCCTCGAGCTCAGTTGTTGAGCCTGAGGTTCCAAATACCATTACCGAGGCATCAATGGCCTTACCAACACCGAGTTTCCCTCCCACGCCTGAGGCATTACCTGGTGATGTTGAAGCGTCAGTTTTTGAACCTATGCCCATCGTTGAAGAAGTGCCGATGTTTGAGCCAATATCTAGTGCTGAAGAAGCAACATTGGGCATAGTTGCATGCAACCCGGCAGGAGATGCTAGTTTGGCGTGGTTCTTCCCTTGCTAGGGTAGTGGGTCCCAGCTCGGATCAAGCTACGCCGGGTCCATATGTTGACCTTGAGGGGAGCCTATTGGACGATGTGACTTTAAGCAATCGAGCGCTTATAAAATTGATCCCCAGGTATATCTTCGTTGCTCTGTTAGTCGACCTTTCTGATCTAGGAGTTGAGATGCCCTCCATGCACTTCTCAAGGTAGGGTTCGTCTTTTTCTTTGACTTTCCTTGTTTCAATTTTGTAGTGCTTTAATTTCCTTCTTTGGCCTCAGGCGATAACGCACGTCTGTGCCTTTGGAGGAGAGGTCCACCATCTAAGGGAGGAAGCTCGTCAGAGGAGTGCTGAGCTTCAAGAGGCCCGACAACGAAATGTCGAGCTCCTGCGCTGGGGTTTAGCTACAGAATCCGAGCTGGAAGTTACTCTCGATCAAAGAGCTTGAGTTTTTCGATAGCTGACCACCACTGCCACTTCCGGGACCTCTTTGCGGGAACAACTGAGAACCCAATCGGAAGAATTGACCTCTTTGTAGTAGGATTTCGATGCCCAAGCAAACGAGTTGATCTCCTTTAAAATCGACAAGGCAATTTTGACAGTGCAACTGAGAGAATCTCGTGCTGTGATTGCCGACCTAAATTACTCTTTAGCTGCTTAGTGCCGGTTGGTCGAGGAGCAACGAAAGGAAATTGAGAAGGCCAGGATGGATGCCACCAAGGCATTTGTAGATGGGTTCTTTAACTTCGCAGATTAGGCGATCGAGCAGTTTCCTGACCTTGACCTCGATCAATTTAAGTCTCAGTTTGACCTTCCTCCTAGCAACCATTCTAATGTTGTTTCACCAGCCAGCCAACCTTGATGGTTTTTGTTTGTTTTCTTCTTTTTTTTGAAAGTGTAACTCTTCTTATTTAGTGGAATGAATAACACTTAACTTGTTTCTTATATTGTTGATTGCTTGTTGTGTTCTCCCCTTGCCCTCTACTCCAAGGAGGTATTGACCTTATTGGAGTATGGTTGCTACTTTGCCCCTTATGCTCGATCTCCACAATCCCGTGCTGTGTAATTGCGAGTTGTGTGCATCCGGGCACTTTGGCTATTTGCTAGCTCTGCTTGGCTATTCCTTTCCATTAATATAGTATGTCTTTAAATTGTGGTGTACAGATTCAGATGAAGAGCAATAACTTGTTCGTTATTCGTGCCCACCTAACTTTGTTTAACCTCCATGTGCGCCGTCTTCATTAACTTCTGCCATGATTGCAGAAGTGTAACAGTCGCTTGCCCACCTTCGCCAGTTGTCTACCTCCCTATACCTTTGAGTCTCTTCTCTCCTGCATTTCTGATTTTTCTGAAGAGTCTCTCGCTTCCTCTCCTACTCCTTTGTTCAAACAGAGGGCTCAAGCTATGCTCGATGTAACCTGGTACTTAGTGTTTCGGCTTCCCTCCATCTTTACTGCTCCGGAGGCAAAAGAGTTCAGAAAACTGTATCACCTTTCTAATGCCTTGACTATCTGGATTCCTTCGATAGACGAGCCTTGCAACTTCCTCCTTCGTTGGGAAGTTTGTTTCTTTGAAAACACGTTTGAGATGGGTCTACGTTTGCCCATCCATCTGGCCATTGGTGCGAGTTCTTGCCCATTTCGGGTTGTGCCCTTCTTGACTCTCCCCTGAGGGGTGGGGTACTCTTATCAGTTTTTTCATCTTCTAGAGTTTGCAAGGTTACGATGATTTTTTCCCCATTGTCGAGTTCCTGTATTTTTTTAGCATCGACTTTGATATGCGCCCCTATTTTAGTCGCTTTAAATGGAGGCGTGGCTTTGAGCTTTCACTCGTTCTTGATGTCCCTAGCCCACCAGAGGGATGAACCCAACGTTTTTTCTTTGTTTTTAGGGATTCTTGGGAATCCTTCGAGGCACAGACTGAGCTTGCCTAGGTTCCCCGTTCTTGGGGACGTCTTTTATACAAAGGTAAACGAATAAAGGTCCTTGGGGATTTCTTTTTTGCCCTGGGGGGGAGGTCTATGCTTGGTAGTTTTTATGCAGTCTTAATCGTGGTTGTATTGTGTAGATGGCCACAGTCTGACCCTAAACGAGCTTAGCAGGGTTTGTCAGCTTGCTGTCGCCAAGGCGGCTCCCTTCTCCTCGCTTATTATAGTTCAGAATCTTTTTCGATTTGAGATTGGTCCCAACCCAACCGTCCTTCCAACTATTGTTCCTGATCCTCCCCTCTTCCTCAATGTAGACTCCTTTCCAAGAAGGTCGTGTGAGATGCTGCCACTTCCTCGCTGAAGCGCCGACGTGGCGTCTTATCGTCGTGATCATCAGATTCATTTCCAGTGAGATGGGGCTTACAATTGTTGAGTTGGAGTTTTTGATGGGGAAGGCAAGTCTCGAGAAACAATTTTTCATGGTTGAGAAAGAGCAAGATGAGCTAAGGGCCGAGAATGCCCGTTTGACAGAGGAGGTTTCTATTCTAAAATAGAATGCTGGGGAGGCTTAAATTTTCTCTTGTTTTGTACTCCTCTTCCAAAGTAACTACTTTGCCTATGAATACAAATTGTCTCTTTCCTTTTATTGCCTGAATTTTACTTTGTTGATTCTAACTGTTTGGCTTTGATCTCTTTCGGAAACTCTCGCTGAAAAAGCTCTTTTACCAAGCTGAGAAGCTTTTTCTAGCTAAAAAGTTATCTTTCGAGGTTAAAAAAGCTCGTAGTTTGAATAGCCTAGTCGAATTTTACGCGGCTGAAGAGCTCGCAGTTTTCAAGTCGAGAAACTCCCTTTTGAGCTTGAAAAAACTCTTAGGCTGAGAAGCCTAGTCGATTTTGCTCGGTTGAAGAGCTCATGGCTTTCTGAGCTGAAAAGCTCTCTTCCGAGCCTGAAAAAACTCTTAGACTGAAAAGCCTAGTCAATTTTGTGCGGCTGAAGAGCTCGCGGCTTTCCAAGCTTGAAAAAACTCTTAGGCTGAAAAGTCTAGTCGATTTTGCGCGATTAAAGAGCTCGCAGCTTTCTGAGCTTGAAAAAACTCTTAGACTAAAAAACATAGTCAATTTTGTGCAGCTGAAGAGCTCGCGGATTTTCAAGCTGAAAAGCTCTCTTCCAACCTTGAAAAAGCTCTTAGGCGGAAAAGTCTAGTCAATTTTGCACAACTGAAGAGCTCGCGACTTTTGAAGAACTATTGGATTCATACTGTGCAAATTTGTCTTGGCTAGAACTTTGGGAGCTTGAAGTGTCTCGCTAGGAGCAATTTTTTAAGGACCAAGTTGTCTGGCTTGAAGTTTCTCTTCCTTACTCACCTGTTATAGTATCTAGCAGTATTTCTTTGGTAAGAAAATATCCGTTATAGTGCTTCGTCTCTCTTCTTGTCTAGGAGGTCAAGGATGATGAGCAGGGATCTCTCATTCTGCTTGGGATTGAAGAGTTCTGCTCTTGCTGAACGCAACCCGACTTTGACTAGCGCCATGGCTTCGGTTCCATAAGCAAGGCTGAATGGGATCTCCCCCATTGCTATTCGTATTGTAGTTCTATAAGCCCATAACACGGTTGAGAGATAATCAACCCATTATGACTTAGAGGCTTCCAACCTTGTCTTCAATGCCAATTTAATGGTTTGTATGGTAACTTCTGCTTGCCCATTGGATTGTGGGTGTGTAGGTGCCGAGAAGTAGTTTTGATTCTTATTTCCGCACAAAATCCTGTGAACCCCAGATTGTCGAACTGCTTTCCATTATTTGAAACTATGGCTTTGGGAATGCCAAAGCGACAGATTATCGACTTCCAAATGACGTTCCTAACTTTTTGCTCAGTTATCTTCGTCAGTACTTCAGCTTCCTTCCACTTTGTGAAGTAATCTACTGCGACTATGGTAAATTTGCATGGTCCGACACCAATTGGCAAGGGCCCTAAGATGTCCAGCCCCCACTGCTAGAAGGGCCAAGGATTGACAACAGGTGTGAGCTGCTCCATGGGACGATATGGTAGGTTCTCGTGAATCTGGCATGCCTGGCACTTTTTTACCATTTTCTTCACGTCTTTGGTCATTCGTGGACCAAAAGTATCCCTGCTTGAGTACCTTGGCGGCCAGGGTTCGAGCTCCAATGTGATTTTCACATATGCCCCCGTGGATTTCCCTTGGGATGTAATATGCCTCCATTTCCAAAACACATCTCATTAATGGAAATGAAAAATCTCTTTTATATAACTTACCTTGCACAATAGTGAATCTCGCGACTTTATTTTTCAACTTTGTTGCTTCTTTCTTGTCATTTGGGAAGAGACCATCCTGTAGGTAAGATATGATAAGGTCCATCCACGAAGTTGTCTCCTCAACCAGCATGGCTTGGTCTTCGTCAGGTTGGACACTAGGTTCAAGTAAAATCTCAATGGGAGTTGTACCGGATAGGTCGTGCTGAGCAGCTAAAGCCAAATTGGCCAATGCATTGGCTCGGGAATTTGCTTCTCTTGGTACCTGGACAAGGTGGCTATAACAAATCTCCTCAGCAAACTTTGTATTTTTCTCACATATAAGGCCATTTTGTCATCCCGAGCTGCGTACTCTTCTTTCATTTGTCTAACCACCAGCTGTGAGTCGTTGTGGATAGTGAATTGTTACGCCTCCATCAATAAAGCTAAGTTGAGGCCAGCTATAAGAGCCTCGTATTCAGCCTAATTGTTGGAGGCTTGGACGTTGAATCTCAGAGCGTATTCTAGGTTATATCCCTCACGAGGAGGGTAAGACAAGCTTCTCATCTTAGGATACTTCTTTTCGGCCTCCTGAGGGCCTTGCTGCAAAAATAGATCGATTGCTAGGATCTTTCTCAGTCTTTCACCAAGGCGGCGCTGACTGAAAAGTCAGATACGACAAGATAAAGGGTTAAGACTTCTCCCTCCCGGGGACTAACCAGTACAGCTGGTGAGGTCAAATAGGTCTTGAGGGCTTGAAAAGCTTCTTCACATTTCTTGTTCCATTGGAAGGCGGCCTTTAGAACCTTGAAGAATGGCTGACAGTTGTCATTGGAGCGTGAGACAAATCGATTGAGCGTCGTTATCCTCCTGGTGAGGCGCTGCACTTCTTGGGTGGTGGTGTTGGTGGGTGATTTCATTTCCAAAACCACTCTTATCTTCTCGGGGTTCA